ACGGAGGAAATGATGATAAGCATTAGCAACCAAAGACTCTATATTACGAGAAGGATACTAAATAGCAACCAAAGGACTTTGATTCGAAAAAGGATGTGATGATATGTGTGTATGTCAAAATGACCTCTTTGTGTGGTGTGGTTGGTGTATAGTCTGATTTGTGATGACATAGCAAACCTGATAAGAGGACCTCTTAGTATAGCGGGATAAATGGATATAAAATAGAACTTAGGACCTCTTGAGTATTACGAAAAAGGATAAAACATAGGAACCAAGAAGGACCGTTAGTTTACTAGGAACGGATATACATAGTCAACCAAAGACCACCGTAGTATACGAGAAAGGATCATAAATAGCAACGCAAAGGCTTGTATACGAAAGGATATACATAGCAACCAAAAGGACTCTCTCAGTATACGAGACAATGATATAACATAGAACCAAAGACCCACTAGTATACGACAAGTGGATATAACAAAGAAACCATAGAGGACCTCTGGATTATACTAGAAAGGATATAAACATAATGCAACCAAAAGACCACTAGTGATCACGAGAAAGGGATATAACATAGCAACCAAAGGACCCTAGTATACGAGTGATGATTTGATAAACATAGAAACAAGAAGAACCTCTAGTTATACTAGAAAGGATATAACATGCAACCAATAGGACACTAGTATAACGAGAAATGATATAGACATAGAAACCAAAAGGACCCTCAGTTATACCTAAGAAAGACATAACATAGCAACCAAATAATCCTCCTAGAATAATAACGAGACATGATCATAACATAGCATACCAAAGACCACTATATACGAGAAAGCGATATAACATAGCAACCAAAAGGACCACTAGTATACGAGAAAGGATATAACATAGCAACCAAAATGACCTCTAGTATACGAGAAAGGATATAACATAGCAACCAAAATGACCTCTAGTATACGAGAAAGGATATAACATAGCAACCAAAAGGACCTCTAGTATACGAGAAAGGATATAACATAGCAACCAAAATGACCTCTAGTATACGAGAAAGGATATAACATAGCAACCAAAATGACCTCTAGTATACGAGAAAGGATAAACCATAGCAAGCAAAAGGACCCACTAGTATACGAGAAGGATGATTAACATAGCAACCAGAAAGACCTCTTTGTATACGAATAAGGTATAACATAGCAACGCAAATGACCTCGTAGGATACGAGAAAAGGATATAAATAGTCAACTCAAAATAATCTCTAGTATACTTAGAAAGATATACATAGCAACCAAAAGGACCTTCTTTAGTGTGACGGAGAGAAGTGATATAAAATAGCAACCAAAAATGACCATAGTGGTACGAGCAAGGTGGTATATATAACATAAGCGAACCAAAATAGGGATCTGTAGTACAGAAAGGAAGGTGAAGTGTGATGGAGAACCCAAAATGACCTGTGGTATAAGAGAGAGGATAGTACATAGGAACATAGAAATGACCTTAGTGTACGGGAATGGTATAACATAGAACTCAATATATGAACATCTAGTGTACTCCGGGAAAGGATATAGTACATAGCAACGCAAAGATGACAAGTATACGAGAAAGAATATTTGAACATAGGCAACCCAAAATAGGTGGTCTAGTATACTAGAAAGAAAAAAGGATAGTCAAGCCTAAAAGAGTCCTCTAGTGTACCGAGAAAAGAGGTTATGAACATAGCAACGAAAATGTACCAACTAGTATGACGTGGAAGGATATAACTACAGTCGAAACAATAATAATTGTCTAGTCATACTGAGTAGAAGGACATCACATAGCAACCATAAATGGACCTTTTAGGTATATCTATAAAGGATAACAACAGCAAACAAAAGTGGTACACTAGTGTACGGAGAGAATGGAACATAGCATACCAAAGATGACTCTAGTGTAGATGAGAATGTGTGTTTATAAAAATAGTAACTTCTTATAGGACCCTATTATACGTAGAAAGGTAAACATAGAAACTCAATATTAATGCTCTTAGTATACTAGATAAGGTAATAACGTATAGATCAGAGAATGACAGTCGTTGGTACGGAGAAATAATATGGAACCAATAAACGCACCTCATAGTTACTACGAGATAAGTGATATAATTCATAGGCAACTTCAAAGAATGACCTTTAGTGATCGATGAATGGCATATTACATTAGCAAGTGTAAAATCTTGTATATTAAATAGGAATAAACAAGGCAACTATATGTGAATAATCTCTAGGTAATAACTAGAATAAGGTTATTAACATAGCAACCTCAAAATGTGACCACTATATATTTTAGACAAGGTATATACCTGAGCAAGGGTAGGAATATCTCTGTGGAGACGTGAGAGAAGGATTAAGCGATAGCAGACCAAAATGACCTCTGTTGTACCGTTAGTCTTAGAAAATAGCGTTGCTATAGATCAGTAGCTAGTAGAGTTTCTTTCTCGGGTGACCCAGTAGTACCTGAATAATGAGGGTCTATCACATAGTTGAGACATATTGACTGGCCTACTGTAGTAGACTGCTTATACAAGTCGATATAATTTGAGTAAGCTAATGTAGCATATACCCGATATGCCTATTATTGTTCAGGTATTACTATACATAGAGAAGTCAATATTCATGTATATTTCTTATAACCTATGGATCTTTCTTTATGACTACGTGCGGTCAGAGATGGTCATGTGTGGGCTTGCGTGGCGGTGGTTTCTATTGTATTATTACCTAAGTCTCGTAGCAACCAAAGAATTTGAACTCTTGCAATAGTGGTCCCAGTTTCTTCGAGGGATAAGGATATAACATGTACGCATATCCGATATTTTATAAGCTCTGTTTATCTCGGCTTAGTGATACTTGACGAAGAAAAGAGGAAGGTTACAACATTTACAACTCAAAGGTAATAGCAATAATCTGGTTACTTATAGTTCCATGTACAAGTGACATTAATTCTAGAGGAAGTAAATTTTTCAGTGTTACATACAGCGTCATATTTACTCACATTTACATTACTATGACTCAGTATTGAACTCAGAGAACTAGAGAATATAACAAATTAGCTAACATCTGGTTGCTCGTTACGTAGATGTAGGAATAATCTTTATCCCTATATTAGCATATTCCAAATGCACGCTTATTAGTATGGTCAAGAACTGAGTATTGAGCGTGACAGTAATCATACCAATACATTTGACTGTCCTGTAGTAAACGAGAAAGATGTATGTACGATCCTTTTCTAGAATCCTGCCCCGGTACAAGCTTCCAAATCTTACAAAGGCATTGTCAGCAATATAGATCTCTAGTTTACAAGGGATATAAGGCAATATAATATTAGCATCCAAAAGATCTCTAGTCAACTTTACTCGAGAGAAGCCGATAATACCAGTGAAAGTCAATGTCGTAAAGAAAGGTTGCTATTATACGATATGCAACACATTCTATAGTACTCTACGAGGAAGGTTATCTCTATCACTAGCAGACCCAAATGACTTTTTATCTGATATGCAGAAAAGCGTCAGTGATTGGTTTTCTTGCATGATGTCTATATTCTTTTGGGCTTAATAACAACTAGGATCCAAATGTATTTGGGGGTTTCTGCCCAGTGTGATGACGAAATAGGATGGCATGTTAAAATACGCACTGTCCCTACAAGGCGTTACAACCTGTTAAAATTGATCGTTCTTAGAATTACCCAAGGCCAGAGTGAAATCAAGGTAGGCCTCAAGAGGTACCTCTTAGAATATAGGACAGGATTATTTAAACGATAGTGAAGTTCCTGTGAGATGTATGAATCCTCCAGTATACGAAAAAAGGATATAACATAGCAACCAAAATGGCCTTAAGTATTCGAGACTGGATCTAGCATAGCAACCAAAATGACCTCTGGTATACAAAAAAGATATAAAAAAAACAACCAAAATGACTTCTAGTATACGAAAAAGGATATAACATAGCTCCATTATACGAGAAAGGATCTAACACAGCAACCAAATTGACCTCTAGTATACGAGAAAAGACCTAACATAGCAACCAAAATGACCTCAAGTATACGAGAAAGGATCTAGCATAACAACCAAAATAACCTCTTTTATACGAGAAAGCATCTAACATAGAAACAAATAGACCTCTAGTATACGAGAAAGGATCTAACATAGCTACCAAAATTACCTCTAGTATACGAGAAGGGATCTTACATAGTAAAGTTCACTAAAATCGATTTGACATAATAGCCAAATAGATCTCAGCTTAATGAGCATATATCAGAAATAGAAGCCAAAATGTCCGTCTAGTAGAGCGGCTCAAGAGATCCTACTACACGGAAATAGGTCGTGAGGAGATGGATATGCGGCCAACATGGACCCTATACACATGGTACTAGACGTGACATGAAGGCGGGTAAATTTGATTCTACACGAGAAATAATTGACACAGTCAACACAAATTATTCATTGTACATCAGTCAAAAACAGATTTGACAGTATAGCGACCTAAATGGATCCTTATGCTTGGGAAATATTCTGACACATGCAGCCAAATGTTAACATATCTGCTGGACGTGTAAAGGTCTAGAAAGGAGCACCTAAAATTGGCATTTTTTCATGCGACATTGTGGACAAATTGATCTCTACTTCATGAGAATGGAAGATAATCTTTAAATCAAGAAAAATTCTTAAATAGCGCTCATGTGAAATAGTTGAATATCTTTGGAAAATGACAAAACAATCAAAATTGCCCCTTTTTGTAAGAACCAATCCATCATAGTGGCTAAAATGACATTTTATTCCTAACCACAGTATATCGATAAAATATTCCTTCCATATTAGACTTTATATGCCTTCATATAATCAAACCGTTACAAGCAGTTTATAACCTCTCTCATTTTGTTATTAAAGCCTGCATACAAAATAACTATAACGTGTACCCAATCAGAGTCGCTTGTTCACTTATCTTTTATCTTGGCCTTTTGATAATCAAGCGAACATAGCTATCGCATTTCATTCGCTACTAAAACAGTGGCTGCGCTCGATTGTTTATTACATTGAAATAGTACTGTTCTCGTGAAACATTATATTTTCAGTTAAGAGCAAAAAAATATTTCAAACGCTCATAAATGAACATCAAAACAAGGATAAAGCGAGGTTTTTACACCGATTTACCTGGAGTATCCGTCGCGTGCGAGATGAACTTAGTTATAAAGTATTTATTTACTTAGAAGGAGTATATACAAGTTAATAAGGTATTTGCTACACTAAACGAACACTGACTTTTTGATAGTGTTTATGTGTACAAATAGATAGATATATATACGCACACATAGTTTTGTAAGTTTCGTGCGTAACAAAAAGTAAATGGATAAAGTGTTGTTTCATACCTGTATTTTATATCAGGATTTATAGACAATGTCATAAATTATTATATCTTCATGTCTCAATCTATATACATCTTGTTTATGTACAAGAAATACGGTTGATGTACAAGAAATACGGTTGATGTACAAGAAATACGGTTTGTGTACAAGAAAAACGGTTTGTGTACAAGAAAAACGTATATTTAATATCAGTGACACGAAAATTTTAATTGGAGCACATTGTTTTTAAGTTGATTTGTATGTTTGGCAATACATAAACAACTGTTTTGATCAAAAGTTTTATGGAAAGTCAATGATAAAATAATATATTATTTTAATACATTTTGGACGATATATAAGGAATCATGGACGTGTGGCATGTCCTAACTTCCCTGACTGTATGGAGTGTACTGTGTCATATTATAGATGGTAAGAGATTTCTTTTTTCATAACTATTGTAATTATATATTATAACATTTACGTAGGAATTTCATGAAATACAATATGATCTAGGGCATGTTAAAGGTGAAATCTTTGTTAAACGTAAACACAAGAATGCAAATAAATCCATTTATACATTATGATGGTAGAAATAATACAGGATTGGAGTAGATACTAAGATTTATCAACAGACAGAGAGCCTGTCAATCAGATATGTCCCCCGAAATTTCAACAAGACAAAATGATACTGTACTAGATTCTAGGTAACTTTCTTCTCTTATCAACTGGAGAAAAAAAATCCTACCACAATAACTCCCATACCAAACGATATCAAAATATGTGAAATCCCATCAGTGTAATGATTTCTTTTTCTTGCTTTATAATATCTATTTTGCTACTCAACAAAAAGATGAACTTAATGGAGCTCTGATTCTGAACATTTTCCACGTTTTTTTCCTTGTTTTCTGATGAGTGTAACAGGCGTATTATATCGTCAATTTTCACATAAATTATGTGTGTGGCTTTAGAAAGAAGAGCTTCCAAATTATATATACCCTGTGCTAACTGTTTAAAGACAGACTTGTGCCATAAAATGCTCGAGGAAATTCATTAATGGAACCCCCGACATTAAGCACGAGAAACTTGACTGATAAAACTCGACTTTAAGCTCGAGAAACTTGATTAATTAAACTTGACAAAATTAAACAATAAAACTCAACATTAAACTCAAGAAAAATGGACAAGACAAGCAATTGCAAAAAAATAATGTAACTATTAGTAATGACAAAGTGAAGTAGACAGAAATACAGGCTGAAAAAAAAATCATATTTTATAAGTCAAAGTTTTTGTTATATTTAGAGGTAAACTGTGTACGTTTTTAATATTCACTGTGAACATATTTATTACAAATATCAAACAACGACAACTAAACGATTTAATCACTTATAATACACTATAACTTCAATGCACATATCAATGGAGCCCGAATTTTGCGTGCATTTTTTTTTATTTTGTTTCCTGAAATATGTTGGAAATTCACATGAAAAGAAAATAATCAACAAAATCTACTGTATTTCAAAATTATTAGCCTTGATTTTCGGCGTATTTTCTTCCACTGGATGATGTTTTTGATAATAGTTAGGAGCAACATTAAAGAGACTGGATATAACATAGCTATCGTTATATAGGTATAGTAGGTTAAATGTACGTTAACTAGATAATTATCGTTTTCCTAGAAACATAAGAAATAGTTAGCGCAAATACATCCAGTGGTGCTGATATATCACTTCATATACTCACTAAGTTCACGTCCTACACAAAATATTTACATCGCATAGCGAGAAATTACTTTAGCAAAATTCGATTCCGAAAATTTTGAAGACTGTTGTTGTTTTTTGCTGGTACTGATGATAAGAAGTAAAAAAAAAACACGTATACTTAACATAAGAAGCATTGTTTTGAATTATCTCAAATTTCATGTCGGTTAGAGAAGTTTAGATGAGGTTTTATACCCATTAATGTTAAAAGCACATTGGTTTGAGTTTTTTACCCTTAACATAATCATATTTATTCTTCAAACATGCATTTAAAACAGTAATATTTGCCGTTGAAATGGTGTTGTTTAAACTTCAACAACATCTATCACAACAACAACAACAACATCATCATCATCATCATCAACAACAACATTAACAACAACACAAACATAAAAATATAATTTTACCCTAACCAAACGTTTCAAATATACTTATGTTGCTAACTGCGCCCTGGTACGGGCTAACCTCAAACATTGAGTCGGTTTCTAAGCGATAAATTTAATTTAGCGTTGCGATGTATATACACACAATTATAGAGAAACAGTGTAACGTTTGCCAGCTACTCGCTTGCTAAGTGGATATTTCCACTAGACAATTTACAGAAATCAACGTAGAATTTTCTGTTTGAATACCACTAGCATTTCTTCCTTCCTATACACCTATCATAAATCTTTTCTTTCTTTCTTTCTTTCTTTCTTTCTTTTTCTTTCTTTCTTTCTTTCTTTCTTTCTTTCTTTCTTTCTTTCTTTCTTTCTCTTCTTTCTTTCTTTCTTTCTTTCTTTCTTTCTTTTTTCTTTTTTTCTTTCTTTCTTCTTTCTTTCTTTCTTTCTTTCATTCTTTCTTTCCTTCTTAACTTATTTTTTTCTTTATTCCTTATTTTAACTAATTAATTTTAATTAACTTTAATTAACTAATCAATAAATTAACTAATTTATTTATTTATTTACTTTTATTTATCAATCTATTGTTTGTTCAAAATACAATAGAATGAACTGAGATATTTATTTTACAATATGTTCATTTATCATCATGTGTTGATTTATACAAATGTATATATATTATATATATATTTAGTCTTAAAGGCCCATTATGTCTCAAAAATGCTCATCATTTTTATTTATTTAAAACTTCTTATCTTGGTATCTTATTATATTTTCAAAAAAAATACTTATTTACTATACAGACAAACCTTTATATGTTTTTATTCTTTTGCTCTGTAGGCAGTTGGTATAACTGTAGTGTTTTTGTATGGAATTCAAAACACTTCTTTGTTTACATTTTTCTACCTTTACGACACATTACTGCATATTCAGTGGTACTTTGTACAGTTGTTAGCATCTAAACTGTTCTAAATGCACTATTAAAACAATATTAAAGACATGTTTGACATTTCTTACGAATTAAAAAAAAATGGATTTCTAAGGCATTATGTGTCTTTAAGTTTTACGGAAATACTGATTATTTGTAATGATTGATTGTAACAATAAAGTAACATATTCTTTTCATAATATAATTTTGACTATTACGTTGTGTATAAGTAAAGCGTGGATGATAATATTTCGTCTCCATATTTGTTAACTGTATATAGCAACCCAAAAATTTCATTTTATTTCCATTTAACCATTGATAAATTGTGTCATTTAACCGAAATAGTTCATATTTTACCAATCTGACGCTATTTACAAGTTTTCCTTTATGAAATAGCTAAAGTTTTTCAATATTTGAGAGTTTAATAAACCCATTGTTTGTCGACACTGGCCTTCGGTGTGTCAATTTTGAGATATTAAAGTGCTAACGTGCACTCAAACCGATTTTAGAGGCACTTAATGATAATTTTACCTGTTTATGATTCGCCTGACATTACTATATCGGTTCGATTCAATCGGCTCTGATAAACAAGGGAAATATAAAGTAGGATTTTATCACATTATTGTCGTAAATTTCTTCCTAACAACACGCTGAAAAGAAAAAAAAATAAAGCTAAAAAACTTGTGATATAAAAGTAAAGTTGATGCACATGCATTTATTTTATTTTCTGCTTTTCGAATTACGTCCATTTCCATCAGTCTGTTTTACTTCAGATTTTTACAGATAAGAGCTAAAATCAGAATTATCAATAATTCTTCATAGATATTCATTGTGTAATACAGTATAAATACACTTACAAATATTAAGTACACGAAAGATCCGGAGCTGTTTTTGCTTAAGGAAACATTGCTCTTTTCATCAGAAGATAATTGGATGTGATGGAAGCATGCAAATGATGATAAATATGCATGACAAATAGCAAATAAATGAGGGCCTTTATAAATATTCTAGTTAAACATCATTTCTGAAAATTGTAAGTTATCTTCAGCTTATGCTCTAAACAAGTACACACATTTGCTAAAATGTGTACTTCCACTAAAATAATAAAATCAAGACGTCATACTGGACACATACACTGAAAGTACGTACCTAATAATGTATAGTAAATGACGTCTGCTAAAATGTTACATGCTTCATTCATAAGATGAAGTATGCAAAATATTTTCAAATATATATTGTTTGTAATGGATAGGTCTAGGATGAAAATAAGATACAGTTTTATTGTAATCGCTAAATGTATTACACCGAGCGGTATATTGTGAATGCTTGGACTAAATATTCAATAATTCAACAGAACTAGATATTGGCCTATTTCGTTCACTTCTATAAAACAAGTCTTTGTGCCTTTAGATGTAACCAATCAGTGCTGATGAACACCAGTTTTACAATTATAAAGGTATATTTGTCCATGTCGATTGGTCAGGGAAATGTAAAACCGACAAAAGTCTGTGGCAAAGTTGCTATGGCCACCGGAAGTGGTTCCATTCGCTACGGTTTCAGATTCTAACCGCCGTAAGCGGGTTCACTTGCTGCAGTTGTAGATGATAGCTGCTGGAAAGGGTTCACTTGCTGTGGTTGTAAATAATTACCACAGGAAGTGGGTTCCCTCTACACAGCAGTAACGTGATATATATGTGATATACTGAACAAAACTGTAATTGTTTGTACCCGTCAGTTATTATCTAAAGTCAGTTCTGTGTACACATGACACGAAACATTATTGTACTAGAATAAACCACTGTGACACATTCATTCAGGTTCAGTTTTTATATAATGAATATAATAGGTAGACTCTGTGGCAGCAAATGGTCAACATTCAGCTCAATCATCAATAGCTCTTGCTATCATCTTGTGTATAAATTTACGTATTTCCAATTCATCATGCACTTTTAGGTTAATGTTAACTATGATAAAAATAAATGCATGCATTGCATTATACAAGCAAAGACAAAAAATTCCTCTACTATCATTATGACACTTAATTATACTAAGTACTTGCATGTTTCTCCTGAGAATTAAGTAGGAGAATTTAATATTCGATATTGTATGATTAAATTTGAATAGCAAATGAAGGAATAAGTGTTGGAGCTTCAATTAATATCTGGATAAATTATTTAAATGTTCAATTATTTTTTTTTCTAAATTTTTCCAGTAATAACAACCATAGTAAAAGCACATTTTAAAATTTTGTCAATGTGTACCGTGGAAAAATAATCTGAAACTTGAATTCCAGTTTTCATATAGTCCTATATATTATTAATAAGACATTTAAGTTTACCATATAGTCCTAATAAAATAAATAAA